CAAGCCTTCTGACTTTCTCTCTCTCTCTCTCTCTCTCTCTCTCTCTCTCTCTCTCTCTCTCCCCCTTTCCCCCCCCCCGCCTTTCTTTTTCTTTTGTAAAATGTGAGTTAAGGAACATTAATAATAGTAGTAGTAGTATCCTTTTCTTTCTTTTTGATTCAGGGTCTCATGTAGCCCACTTGGCTTCAAAATCCTTCTGCTGTCTCCTTTTGCCAAGTGCTAGGATTGTAAGTGTATGCCACCAAGCATAACCTATTAAACCATATCTAAAATGATTCTCATTACATTAGATTATTAATGTTACCTATTGTCTTTACAGTTTCTTTCAGCTGTGACCATCTGTGTTTCATGAAACCACTGCCATATAGAAATGCCAATGATCAACTCTTTAGTGCCTCAGGAATCTCAGAGTTTCACGGTCTGCACCATCCACTCAGCGACCGCCAATCATCTCTCCACTTATTCAATAAGCATTTCTCTTTTGCATCACGCTACACATCACGCGATGTGCCAAAGTTATGGCTCCCCCTGTAGAGTATGACTGACATCCTAAAAGAGGTCACAGACGTGCAATGTCACTCATTAAGTAAACACACTAATACATAATTTAAAAACCTTGATAATGCTATAAAGGCCAAGTATAGAAGCTTTGACAGCATGGGGTCTTGTCTGGTTGGGGGACAAACAAAGACAGGCCCTCCAAAGAGACAGCTTGAACTGAGAAGCATGAACTGGTTGCCTGCAGTGATTGTTGGGTGAGGACTGGGGCATTGGGTCAGATGCTGTGCTGGGCCTGCTTTCTAATGGAAAGATAGTTTCTAAGTCACTTCCTCAAAGCTCTTAGTAGAAAAAAATACCATTATTTCTTCTCTGGGAAGGAAGGAATTCAGAAATATTTACATCTGATCTCAGAAGAGTCTCTGCTGAATTTGCCAGCACAGTTCTGATTTACCCAAGACTTCACCTGCACAGTTCCTCCAGCCCTTTTAACTTCATACCTTGAGAAAGTCACTTGACTTCCTTAGGTCTCAGATTTCTCATCCATAAAACATGAGGCTAGGGTTTTATTTATATGGTTTTAAAGGTCTCTCTCTCATATTCAGCATTCCTTATTTCTAGAAATAAATTGGAGTTAGCCAGGGAGGGGACATAAATCCTACAAAGCAGACTTGCAGCTTTATTTGAAAACCAAAAATCAGCTTGCATTCATAGTACAAAAAAAAATGTTGTAGGAAGGGTAGTTATTGAAATGCATGTTGGATGTAACCAAAAATAGCTAATGCATCGGCAGTTAATGCAGGGAAACTGTGATGGAGCGTTTCCTTGGCAACCGGAGTAACTCAAAGGTAAAGTAACTGGGTTTGATCAAAAACTAGTTTCTTCACATTTCTCTATGGGCTCTTTAATTATAATTCAGTATAAAGGGGGAAACGGTTGACAAATTCATTTCACTGAAAAACAAAGGTCATCCCAAAAAACCAAGAAAATGGCAATCCAATTGAGGCAAACAAGCAAACCCTTGAACTGGAGAGGTATGATTGGCCTGTGTGCCCTTGAAGGCAGGCACATGACCTAGAACACTGGCTCCTTCAAGCTACTAAATTATTTGCAAGAATCAAACCAGAATTCACATGAATCTGACATCTGTCAATCTGGATGTAAAGCTTTGGATTTCAAACGAAAGTCAGCTCTTTCCAGAGAAGGATAAAGGACAATGGCTGCAGTTTCTTAGCATGCATAGTCAATGCTGCAGAGGTTGCTAGGCAACAGCAGAAAGGCTGTCAAACATCCCCTGATGCATCCAATGGAATAGGAGCAACCCAAGTCACTCCAGAGAGGTGAGAGGCCGGGCAGTCCTGAAAGATATGTTCAGCTTGGCATTGCTTAAACAGTGAAACTCAAAACACAAATCACTTTTTTATGGTCAGAGAATAAGTGGTGAGCTTTTCCTCCAAGAGTTCTGAATACATTTTCAGTCGAAGCAAATTCCTATAAGTGAGTGTGCCCTGGTTGCAGGCTGCAGAGAGGCTCTGTGCAAGGTCTGTAAGTTGTTCTGACCCAATTCACCCTGGAGCTCACAAAGACACACCCCTGAGTTCCAGAGGGTTGCCATGGCTCCCCACCTGAAGCCTGGGTTATAGCTGGCAAACCTCTGACTTAACAAACATTCATGTTCAAGGTAATTGCTATGAAATTCCTTAGGTCTGTGGTCATGAAGTAAGAGTAAAATCTTAATCTACTGTCCCTTTGTCCTTATTTCAGGTGACAATTTCATTTTAACTCCAAGGAGACTAGCAAAGAAGTCAGGATCTGACAAAGGGTCAAGTACCTTTTCTTTCTTCCCCTAGCAGCACTGTTTAATGAACAAACATTGACCACAGACTGTTAATTTGCAGAAAATACTTGGTGAAGCCAGACGGTCCATGAAGAATGAGTGCCAGGTCCGATCCAAAGAATCTGAGCTATGATTGGGCCTTAAACATGAAGAGAGTCTAATTGATCATGGTAACGGCAGACAGACCCAACATGAAGCATGTTGTGAACACAAAGGCAGAATGGTAAATGGTCTTCTAAATTCCAGTTGAGGTTGGGCAGGGGTAGACAAGGACCTATGTAAGAACCATCAGTTCATCCCTCATTGCTAGTAGACGAGGCTAGCCACTTGGTTTTTTTGTCTGCCCAAAAGGGATCTGAACGCACACATTGTGAAGTTCCTGAATTTAAGCACACAGTACCTTTTCCTTGAGGGCACTGCAGAAGGACAGACAGGTCAGCACAGGGCAGGGATGCGAGGCTAGAGTTCCGGAAAGCTCTGCTGGATGCCCATATATCTGTCCAAGGTGTCCCAGCTATTCCCACACTGCCACTTAGAATCCCCTGATCATCCAGAATTTCACATACTTAAGGGGTCACGTATATACCTCTGTGAAGTGAACTCAGAGTCTGGAGCCTTGGTTAGGCTTCCTGACTGGATGCCAAATGGAGTGTAAAACACAGATCCAGCATTTTTCTGATTTGATACAAATGGTTCTGTTAGGGAGAGACAGCCCCTGTGATTCTTCCAGCCTGAACACTTGTTCATCTATAAAATTGCAAAACATAGCAACACATTTGGTCTCATTTATCCTCAAAGGTAAAGAAGATTGAAGAAGAAAGCAGAGACTAGGGATAAGACATTGCCAAGGACCCCGAGTATGTCAAACAGGGGAACGTTGTCGAAAGAAAGGAGAAAAGAAGTAAGAATGAGAGTGGGGATGGCCACCTCCAGCCACCACACTCCTTCCTGCGGGATCTTCTAGCGCATCTGGCCCCACATCTCCTTAGAACAGCCCTCTTCTCCCCTGCTTTCTTAAGCTTCCACACATTTTTCTACATCAAAGCCATAATGTGTATTTGACAGCTGATAATTTCTAGAGCCACTTGTCCTTTAGTTGTTGAAATGTGTCTTTTTTAAGGGTTTTCTGGGAATTTATGAGCATCATTGCTCTTTGGACAGGGCTTCTGAAATACTTTAGATCATGAGGAAAGAAGATGCCCAGTGTTTGTGAATAAAAAACTTCACAAACCGCCTGAGCTTCAGGATGGGTGCCTTCAAGAATAATTTTATCCTCTTGATTATCCATGTGTGTATAATAAAACCTGGTATTATAATGGAATATACACCAGATCTCTTAAGGAAACAAAACTCTGTCTAGGTTGTAATGACTAAATAAATATGATTCATCCAAATGGTCCCTGTTTAGCAGAAACATAACTCAATAAAACTCAGTCATCTTTCATTAATCTAAGAGATTAAATTTTGTCACATTAGCCACATCCACATTTATTTGCCACTTAACATTTTATAATTGTGTGACCTTTTAAATGTTTGGTATCCATACATCAAAAATACCTGGTGAGTTTTCAAAAAAATTATAATGCATGCTTAATAGATCTGTTAGTTGTAGTATTTTTCTTAAGCTCTCTGACGCTCAAAAGAAAACTATCTCTTTTAATGATATTATTCAAGTTATTGAAGAACAAAACTCTTTTTAAGTTTGGAGAAAGATGACTAGTGTGGGAAGTCCTTCTGTATATGTGTTGCTTTTATTGGTTAATAAAGAAGCTGCTTTCAGCCAATGGCTTAACAGAATATAGCCAGGCTGGAAGAGATACATATAGAGAGAATAGGTGGAGTCAGGGAGAAGCCATGTAGCCCCACCAGAGACAGACACTGGATAAAACTTTACCTGGTAAGACACAGCCATGTGGCGATACACAGATTAATAAAAAGAGGTTAATTTAACATATAAGAGTTAGCCAGAAATATGCTTAAGCTATTGGGCAAACAGTATTGCAAATAATATGGTTTCTGTGTGATTATTTCAAGTCTGGGCAGCTGGGAACAAGCCAGAGGCTCCGACAACAGGTGACTATGATGAAGACCTTTTAGATGTCTTTGTTTTGTAGAAACCCTATGTTCACTAGGATGGTAGAATCTAGAGGAGATGCCATATGACTCTTGGTGAAACTTTGTCTATACTGTAAAACATATCTGTGGTTTCACACAGTTTGGAAGAGATAAGTATAGACGACACATAGGGAAAATCAGCGCAACGGAGTCAATATGACTTCCTTCTAAAATCTAGGAAAGGTAGCAAGTTCCGGGTAATGGAATCACTAGCACCTGGTACCAGAAGAGAGGAGCTTGCATCGTAGCTTAGCTGATTGAATTCTGTTCAGTACCATTGACCGGGATCTAGAATTCGGTCAGAATAACTTTAAGAAGCTTGAAGCTAATCATGACCTGCAAATTGGATAGTTGCCCCCAAGAATCACTTCTGACGGACACTCGAATGGGACCCAAATGTTCTTCTGACTACTCATTTAGGCAAATAATTAAAAACATGTGTACCGTTGAAGGTACGTACTCCCAGATGGGTGACTAAAATACCATAAAATTAAACTCCCACCCTTTTGTGGGACCACGAACAAGGAGATACTCTGGAATGTTCTCTTACCTTTACGGCTACCAGGATCTTATCCTGCTCAGGACAGAGGTTATAGCATTCTGCCAGGAAAACCTTTCCAAAGGCTCCTTCCCCGAGCTCCCTCTTTAGAACGATGTTATGTCTCTTGATGTGCTGAACAACTGTGAAACAGAGACACATGTCATTCAACAGCAACCATAAGATTGTCACGCAATGTGTATAGGACCACTCCCTCCCTTCCCATCGGCTAGTTTACGACGTTGGGGGGGAGGGGAAACTTTGCCACCTGCACCCCTGGAAGCAGCAGGACCCTAGACAGCCCCTCTGGAGATGCTGTTTTTCATAAAATTTGAGCGGTGATCAAGGTTTTGATTGGATGGGAACTATCCTCCCCAGTAATTCATGTGATTCTGATCTCTGTGGGCCTCTGGGGACTCTGATCACTACCGTTTATGAATATAAGAATGTAGATTTGCATCCTGTGTGCTGGTGGCACGCCGGGTTTCAGAGGAGGGGGCTGTGCTCATTAGGAGAGTGCTCTGTAAAGTCAAAGGACCCCCACTTAAATCCTGACTTTCCTCCTGGGCTGTCACTCATCGGGAATCAAGTTGCCACTTGATTCACACTTCACACTCCAATAAGTCCCAGGCAAGCATTTAACTGTTTTAGCATTTGATTAACACATTAATTTTTCCCCCCAAAACAGGAGAGAAGCTGGTGGCAGGGTAGTTAAAGCCACAGCTGATTTCACTGTTTTCAAAACTAGAGTTGAGAATGGTTCACCGGCCTTGAAACTGAGAGCAGAAGACAGGTTTTTCTTTAAGGAAATGGGCTGACTTCATTGTGATTTGGGGCATAGATTATCTGAAAATGTCCTTTGCCAATGTGTTACCTCCAACACACTAAATGTCTCTTTTATACTTTGGGTCACAAGAATTTTGTGATGGTCAGGAATAGTCTGCATACTAAATATTACTGAAAGCTCTCATTTCACAACTTTGATGACAGTCTCCCAGTTAACTGAAGCAACCGTGCTAAGTATGAATGCAACAAATCAGCCCGAGTCTCTGGAAATCCAGGAATGGATAAAGGCAAACAAATCAACAAACAAAACATGTCAGTGACAAAAGTCAAAATCGGAAGTTTCCACACTATTGGGCTAGTAAGATTAATTCTTGCCATATTCCTCCATGATAACACGAGGGATTACCCTAATGTGCAGTTTTTCTTTAACAAGCAAGGAAGCCCTGACCATGGCCAGGCCCCGCCCATCGCCAAGTCCCGCCCATGGAGCCTGTCATTCATATCAACAGTGGTACTCTTGTTCCTGCCAGTGCTCAACCCTTCCGGTCCCTTTGCAGTTCTTGAATCAGGGTCTGCAATTCCACAGGCTGTTGAGTACACCCAGGTTTGTAGGTGTCTCAGATGAAGGCCACGCCCTGGCTTCTTCCTGCGAGTCAACACCCGCATTGTGTTTCACCTTTCTCCTGTCAGACTCCCAAGTATTCTGTAGCTTCTCTTAAGGACCCAACCTGCATCCGCTCTGCCTTGCCTTTGCTAACACCTTGGATCCTCCAGTCACCCAACCAAACACCTGCCTCCCATTTTCCCTCTTGGGTCTCAGAGCTCAGGGAATGGAGAGATTCAGGAACTTGCCTGAGCATCAAACGTACACCAGGCTGCTGTCTGCCCTTTGTGTTTTGGTGGTGAAGAGACCACAGGCACAGGGCCATTTGCTTTATCTCTTGGTTAGACTTTAAGCAGAATGTCCTGGGAGTGAGTCTCTCAGGGATGAAAGCACTTCAGCTGGGCGCCCTTCTCCTTAAAAGGCTCTATGATCTATGATCCATTCCCTTTCCAATACCCCAATATCACGTAAGCAGAGAAACGTCCTGCCTGCTTCCTTCCTCTGAGATCAGTTACCCTCAGATTTTCACTTTGGAAACTTGACGAAAATCACTGCAATCTCAACATTAAAAATTAAACGAGGGGCCAGGAGGCATAGGTATATGCCTTTAATCCCAGCACTCAGGAGACAGAGGCAGGTGGATCTCTGTGAGTTCAAGGCCAGCCTGATCTACAAAGCGAGTTCCAGGACAGTCTCTAATGCTACACAGAGAAACCCTGTCTCGAAAAACAAAACAAACAAACAAAAAAATTAAATGAGGGTCAGTTAGATGCTCCGGAGGGTAAGGACAAGCCTGAGAAGCTGAATTTGATTCCTTCAACCCACAAGGTGGAAGGAGAGAAATGATGCCTGCATGTTCTCCTCTGACCTCCACACAGACACGGAAACACACACACAGACACAGAAACACACACACACAGATATGGAAACACACACACACAGACACAGAAACATATACACACACAGACATGGAAACACACAAACACAGACATGGAAACACACATACAGAGACATGGAAACATACACACACAGACACGGAAACACACACACACAGACACAGAAACACACACACAGACACAGAAACACACACACATACAGACACGGAAACACATACACATACAGACACGGAAACACATACACATACAGACACAGAAACACACACACATACAGACATGGAAACACACACAGAGAGACACGGAAACACACACACAGACACAGGAACACACACACAGACACAGAAACACACACACATACAGACACGGAAACACACACACACGGAAACACACAGACACAGACACAGGAACACACAGACAGACACAGAAACACACACACAGACAGACACGGAAACACACACACACGGACACAGGAACACACACACATACAGACACAGAAACACACACACGCACATTAAATCACTGAGGTAAAAATATCAATGATTAAGAGTTCCCTCACAAACTGCTCTCTCTGTATGGAGGAAAACTTAAGACAAGAGCTTTGTGGAGTTTTCTTTGAAATGTATCCTGTTTCTGTGCCCGCACTTCCCTCTCCCCAAGGGGATATCATCGATGGAATTTTCCAGACTGGAAATTTGGCCTCCTTGGTCATTTGCCTCATGAGCAGTAGGAAAGAGCAAATTTTCAGTATTATATTGCAATCATATCATCGTCAATGAAAATAATGCACTCGGCCACAAAGTGGCTGTCCCGGCTTAACTCGCCTCCTGCCTCAGACACATTTAAATCCAATTCTTGGTATAGATTCCCCCAGAAGCAAAAATGTTATGCACATTCAAAGGCAATAAAGTATCAATCTATGTCCATATCCATTATTACGGGATCCAAAACTAATAAAGATATAAATAACTATGGCTCTATCCACTTAAGGTCTCAAGCAGGAAATGTGTCTTTCCCATTTCCAGGGTAATGGTATTTCATAGAAATCTTGGCCCCACAAACACAGCCTGCCTCGTTCATGGGGCATAAAGAGGACTCCATTGAGTGCCCTTATAATGCCAAGAGCTAAGTGACCAGACATTTTTTTAAGGTATTTATAGCTCTGGGATGAAAGGTACCAAACAGGATTGGGGGCTTTCAGTGGGGCACTCTGACCCTCCTGTTTCCCTACAGTCCTGGTGCCAGGCTGTAGAGTGAACTTGGTAATAGGAGGCAGACTTTCTCAGCATCAGGATCAACCCCTGCTGATGGTGGAGAGAAACCGACATTTTATGGGCGACACCTCTCTCTACTAAAACTACTTCAGACTCCAGCCTAACCCCCTGTAAGCGGCTGAAAATCTCATGATGAACAATTTTATTTCATTAGGAAACTGAAAACAAATGCAAAACATGAAAGTGAAAAACAGAATATACAGTCATTGACTGGAAGAGTTGGGTGCTAACTATCTCAATAGATGGCAGGCTATGGAGTCCTGTAAATTTACGTGCCCAACTTTTGGAATAAGTTTGTGTGAAGATGGAAATAATGCTTTGGACTTTCATCTACATTTTTATTCTGATGCAAATTAGTACTAAATTGAAAACAAATATCTAAGATCACAGATGAAAAGCAGCACTCAGACAACAAAAGACTGAATATTCACAGATTATACCATTGAGGAAAAGGTACATGTACCAATGCTGAGCCACCCTCAAGAAGTTTAGAGCAAAGCTAAAAAAAAATGTGACTTACCATTAATTAATTTCAATACTCCACAGAGTGAGGTCAACAGTCACATCTATTTTACAGATGACATCACAGTTAACTGACTTTGTGTGGTCATAGAGAATCCACTTGCTTGTGCTTTTCCAAGCACAGTTCCCACTGAGAAGAGGGAAGAGGTGCCTTCCACATGCTGACCACTATCACAGGCTCAAAGATATGTGGGGGCTTCAGAGAGTCCTGAGCACTCACGGCAGTCGGCTAGGCAGTCTTACCTCCGTTTTTACGTTAAACACCAAGAAATGATTAGTGCTCTTGACTCTACCCCATAGTAAGTAGGGAGTTTCCTAAGAGGAGTCTTCAAGATAGAGACCAAAGATAAAGATGACTGTACAGAACTGGAGAGATGGCTAAATGGTTAAGGGTGCCAACTGCCCTTGCAGAGGACCCAGGTTCAGTGCTAATCCCTCACATGGCAGCTCATAACCTAGGAACACCGGTTCCTAGGACTCTAATGCCCTTTTCTGGCCTTCTCTGGTACGGATGTGGTGCACACACACACATGCAAGCAAAGTACCCATATACATTTTTAATTAAAAAATTTAATAAAATAAATATACAGCACAAAAGCCACCCTTGACCTAAGCTTTCACAGGGAATCCATATGGTCTCAACAGCAAAATCCATGGGAGTAAGAGCCTATGGGTATGCACAAGAATGCTCTGGACAGAAGCTGACAAACGGGTGTGATTTCCCGGAACCTGGTGCCGGGCCTAGATCACATTAGGTTATCAAAATTCTTAGACGAATAAATAACATAGGCGCACAACTGAGAAAGAGAAAATAATGGTGGAAACAACAGGAAAGTGGGGAAAGAGAACGAATCAGGAGGAGGCAAAGGCTGGGTGTGCTTAAGAAGCCATGAACAGCAGCAGGTGGGGCAGTAGGAAAGGAGGGTGGAGTTGGGGCGTAGAGCGCCTCGAATAGCTCCAAAGTCACTCAGATGGAGTCTCACACTAAGAAATAGGGACTTGAGGATGGATGACTTCATTGTTCTGCCTTCCATTTCCTCATCTCTAAAGGACTGAACTGGGGA